ACATTATCTATTACCTTTTTTTGTGCACTATTTTTTAAAATTAAATATCAAGGTATAATACAAAATAATGCTATATATATATATATATATATATATATATATATATATATATATATATTTATTTATTTACCAAGTATTTTATTAATACCATGAAAAAATTAAAAAAATATAATTAATAAAGCTAATCATATTAATTACTTGAAGGATTTGTTGACAAAGAGACTATTCAAATCACACAACAAATTGAAGTGAGAACAACTTCGCAATATCCTTGTTTGACAATCAGCAGTTAGCGGTTAGCGTTAGCGGATTATATTAGCGAATTTGACCAGCGAATTATATCAATGGTTGGTAAAAAGATATTTGAAAAAATTAGTTGTTTAGATTAACATGTAAAATGACCTAAGGGTATGATGATGATATAATAATAATAATAATAATAATAATAATAATAATAATAATAATAATAATAATAATAATAATAATAATAATAATAATAATAATAATAATAATAATAATAATAATTGTTTTAAAAAATAAAAAAATAAAAAATATAATTAAGTAAATCATATTAACTACTTGGGAGATTTATTGACAAAAAGAGTATTTAAATCACACAACAAATTAAAGTGTGAAATTATCTCGCAATGTTCTTGTTTGACAATCAGTAGTTAGCTCTTCAATATTAGTATATACGGAATATTTAATAATTTATGCCTTAACTTTTATTTTCTCTCCCTTTATGTCCTGTATTTGGTTTCAACCATACCTATACAATTATTTTATTGACAACTATAATCAATCTTGACTATATTATCTTGCATTTGTAAACTTAGAATTGCCTATTTAAATACACAAATTTAACATTCAATTATCTATGCATGAACAATTCCAATATAATCTTGCATTGATATACTTTAAAATACTTATTTAAAAAAATATTGGGCATTGTCTCAATCGCGCAATGCGCGTAAAAAACTAGTTTTATGTAATAATTAACATATAATTCAAATATATAATGTTTATATATTATTATTAATGGAGAAGATAATAAAATATATGGTGGATGCATATGCATGGTAATAATAGTGGAAAAGATAACGAAAGTTATAACGGTAGGGGTATGTTTGTCCAAAATATTTTAATGTACAACATTTATAGCATAATGTACAAAAAGAAAAAAAACTTAACGGAAAAAACGGACATAAATCAGGAGTATAACTTTCATTCACACTTATTATGTTTTTAGATTACAAACTTTTGCCTCAAATGATATAACATCATCTTATAAAGTGCATCACTATATTATTGAATTTTATGAATGTTTTCAAGTTCTTGACAGAATTTGGGTGACAAGAAAAATCTGCAATCATTTTGTCTATGTGATAATTCGCAAACCGGTCATTGAAGAGATAATTAAATTATATAAAAAAAATTATGTGCAAAGAATTTGATTGAAAAGTTATTGACAATAATCAAATTCGTAATGTTTTGATACGATCATTATACTTCTCTCACTTAGTTACCGCTTCGGGAGCAAAGTATTTATTGAAATAATTGGATTGTAGCAGTGTAGCACAATGTATGCAGTTTAGGATAATATAATTGAGGTTTTCTTTATAAAGATGGGATCGACTAGGTTGGCAATACGTAAGGATCGTGTTTGTTGTGGGGTGATTACCACCATAGCACTTGCATTATAATAATGAATGAATAAACAATGTTCATGCATGTTTATAACACAAGTCAAATAACACAACTAACTGTGGCCTAGTATTTCACTAACCTTAGCTTCTTCATCCTACATATATTCCTACCTATCTTAAATACAAAGCATGCATATATACACATTTTGAACATACACCCATGCCATTATAAAACAGCAATATAATCTAGGTGACTAGGTTAATAATAATGGGAATCTTAGCTTGCAGGTAATTACAACATAACAATGCTCTTGTATATTAACATTTGCCACTTATTAGTATTTGTTAATTTAGCCATTAATTTATTGAAACTTATTTTATTTGCAAAGAGAAAATAACCCTTTTCATCCATGAGTTATAAGAAAATAATATATTTGTTGGAACATTTAATTAAGCATTCATTGAGTTTGTCCTTTTCCATATGTCCCACATTGCTTGGCTAATTTACTTCTTCCCACCTTCTATATACCAAGTGCTTTAAAAGACTTGAAGTGTTATGGAGAGGGAATAAGGGGGAAATCTCGCGCACATCGTCGCCGCACGCCCAGCTCGGCACGCGCGGTGTGGTGGTGGGGTCACATTTTGCAACCCACTACTTCTTCCAGTTCTAGAACGCACAAAACGAAGCTTTGCCTGAAGTTAATACTGCACATCTATGAGTTGGTTTTTTGCAAAGGGCAGTGTTAACCAAACACCCCTGTTACCTCCACACATGACACAGATTTTATCTATTACAAATCTCCCCCGTTACACTCCACTTTGCAGATTAGACTTTGATGTCTCCGGGCGTCATCTGGTTTCGAAAAACCAACAACCTTAGTGTTACAGTAGATTTAAAGTCCGCTAAGTCGGTGTGAATAAGTTCTAAAACATATGTAATTCGACTATTCACGGTAGGAAAGGAATTTCTAGCATACTTAGCTTCAGCGCAAGTTTCACATTGTGTGCATGCATCACTAGACAAGTTTGGCAAAATATTCATGCTTTTTAGTCTATTTAAGCACTTTGTAGTTTGTACCAACATGCCCTAATCTATCATGCCAGAGATTTATTGAAACAACAATGTAAGCAGAAGAGAAAGCTTTATTATTAGCATTGTTTGGAGTGAAAACACAAGCAGTTGAAGTGGAACCATCTACAACATTTTGTTTTCTAGCTACATAAGCATCTAACACAAAAAGGCCTCCCTGCAGATATCCCTTTTCCCAAATATTTCTCACAGTGAGTCAGAACCAGTCGGTCAGACTCAAAAACCATTTTTATTATAGCCTTATTAAGTAGGCATCCGAAAATCAGGTTTCTACGAAGGGAGGGGGCAAAAAGCACATTTTGCAACAATAGAATTTTCCCAGAATAAAGTGTTAACTCTATTTTTCCTCTACCACTTACCTTAGAGATGCTGGAGTTGCCCATGAACACTTGTTCTTCTCCAGTGTTTAGCTCAAGCACTTTAAACAGGTCATTGTTGTTGCAGAAGCGGCGAGAAGCTCCGGTGTCCACGACCCATTTATCTGGATCACCCACCATGTTTACCTCGGTTATCACAGCTGCTACCATGTCTGTGTTCTCTAGCAAGTGAGCCTGGTTGTTTGGCCCTTCATTGTTTGGCTTCTGACCAGTTTGACTTGTGGACCCTTTCCTGTGATAGCATTGTGCAGCACGGTGACCTTGTTTTCCACAAACATAACATTCGTTACTATTTTTTTCCCTTTTTTTGAATAATATATTTTGGTATCTCAATTAAGCATGTCATCATCTTTGTAATATATTCGAGTTGGATAAAAGTTGTCACTTCATAGATGATTGAAAGATGAAAAGTAGTGAAATTGACGAAAAGTTTTATTAAAGCATTTCCAAGGTAGATTAAACAAGCCCTTATAATTATTTATGTGTATATAGTAAATTGAATAGAGACTATAGAGTTACTGATCGTTTGGCTATGCTCTAATCTCCTCATGCATGGGGGGTCTGCATTATAATTATCTTCCAAGGGTTCTTTGGAATGATCGCTTTGATATTTGACAATGGCGCATCTTTTATCCACAAGTGTGCATTATATTGCGTTGACGAATTGAAGCTAGCAACGTAACCCAAGTGTTTGGATTGCATAATTGGTCACTTTGCCTTTTTTTGACAAAATCATTACTTTACTAAACGGCCGGCCGGCCATAGAGATAAGAAATTGATTGGATTGATTAATACTAATTATAACAATCATCCAATTCGTTTATTAGTTAGCTTTCAAGGAGTATGTGACATTAGAGCAACCATTGTGATTGTTGCCAATTTTGAGTATTTGTGAACTTTAATGTGTCAACAAGAAGAGGACATTATACATTATCTTACATTATTCTAATTCATAAAATTTATTATCTTATCCTAGAATGTTCATTATTCTAACACATATGTAAACTAAAGAATTTTTGTTAAGATCAGAACAATATCATTTTGAACGCGCACAAAAAAAAAAAAAAAAAAAAAATTGAATCGTGATCCATACAATAATTTGCTTCAAATCATTTAATAGGCTGCAACATAACTATTATCATTATTTTCAAAAATATCGGCAAATTATGCTGTGCATCCGTATGCACCATGCATGGTGCATACGGATGCAAAAACGACGTCGTTTTAATAAAACGCGCGTCTCCTCTTAAAAAAAAATCAGGTTCGATTCCCAACAACAACATATGAACTAAAATTTCATAATCGATGAACTATAATTTCATAATCGATGAACTATAATTCCATAATCTAATCTATGAACTAAAAATTCCAGAATGAATGAACTAAAATTCCATAATCTATAAACTAAAATTTCAGAATCGATGAACTACAATTCCATAATCGATGAACTATAATTCCATAATCAATGAACTATAATTCCATAATCTATGAACTAAAATTCCAGAATGAATGAACAATATAATGTTGTTGCTGGGAATCGAACCTGAATTTTTTTTAAAGTAGAGACGCGCAATTTTTAATAAAATGACGTCGTTTTGGCATCCGTATGCACCATGCATGGTGCATACGGATGCACAGCATAACGATTGAAAAATATCAGTATCGATACTACTAGTACAGTTAACCCAAGGATTGAAGGATCCACTCCAAAAATCAGGCCTGCAATTCTACAAGCATATTGGCAATTATGTGTTGGGTCCAATGAGCTTATGAATCTCAGAGGTCCATGTAATGAACACAAGGCCAACCCAACAAAAATATTGGTTGGGGGTTTAAATGAATTATCCAAAAGTACAAAGGCACATTCACAATTTGGTCAGTGGAAGGGGCAACACCGCAACACAGGCGTACCAAAGTTGAAAAAAATGACACATGAAAGAAAAACAATTCCCTTTTTCTCCTCCAAAGTCCTGCCTTTTCTCCTTCCCGGCTGCTCTTTCTTTTTCATTTTTTATTTTTATTTTTATTTTTATTTTAAGCTGCCAATCTGCCATAAACACAAAACAAAGAAGTTATTCGGACAAGCCTCCATCCTCCGACGACTCTGAAAAACCTCCAAAACCCTAACCCTGAAGCTCCATATTTACTTCAACCTTTCAAGTTTCAATCTATCCACTTCACTCTTACTGAATTCTGTCACTTTCTGCACACAACCACGCACGCATAAATGACTAATTCGGGAGGCTTCGCCGTGTCGCGGAGCCACAGAGGAGACCGATTCTACAACCCGCCACCGATGCGGCGGCACCACCAGCAACTGCAGAAGGCGCCGAAGGCGGAGGCTGCCGCTTCTGAAGTGGGGAGCCGGACTGATTCCCACGATTCAGCCACCGCATTGTCTAAACCACAATCTGTCTGCTCGTCTGCTTCGGCGCCGCCGAAGAATGTCACCAACTTGGATCGTTTGATGGAATCGGTTACTCCCTTCGTGCCAGCTCAGCACTTCTCTAAGGTATAAATACTTCTGTGTGCGTGTTTGCTGTTGGAGTAATGTGCCTGCCTCCTCGTGTAGTTGCTCCGTCACACATTTGTTCATAATTGAAGAAAATGGAATCCATTCTCATTTGTTCAGCATATATATATATATATATATATATATATATATATATATATATATATATATATATGTGTTACTGTGTTGCTCAATTATTCTTTATTCATTACAAAAAAGGCGGCTACTTTATTATAAGTTCCTCGTACTGCACTGTGTTTCTTTAGAATTGAGTGCTGTTTGAATTTCATGACTAATATGTTGTTAAATTTGCAAATGCTTCTACTTGGTATGGCTTGAAATATAATTACAAGAATGAATTCTTATAGCGATGCACTAAGTCATGCTGGCAACATGGTTTTGATATGGTGTCATTTCGAGTGAACAGGTAAATGTAAGAGGACAAAGGACTCGTGAAGCAGGTGCAAATGCGTTTTTTTGCCTTGAGGATCTTTGGGAATCTTTTCAAGAGTGGAGTGTGTATGGAGTAGGCGTGCCACTGTTGTTGAATGAAAAAGACCAAATTATTCAGTATTATGTTCCTTTCTTGTCTGGCATACAATTGTACATAGACCCATTGAAGTCATCATCTCGGCTTAGGTGAGTGTAAATATGATCAATTTCTCTTGTAGTTTTGGGTCTTCAGCTTATTTGACTTAGACCGTTCTTTTAATTATATATATGTTTTTGTTCTTTTTTATGTTAATAACTTCTTTGTCTCTTGATCGTTATTGCAATGCTTTTTTCTCATGATTATTGCCCTTCAGTCAAGGTTCACAACGTTTCATTATATCACATGTTTAGTCACATAGAATTATCATAGGTCTTTATTGATTTTCATTTATATCTGCAATTTAATTTGCTCTTTAATTTTCATCATTACTTATTTTTGAGTCCAATGGTGATGCAACTAAGATGGTATGCAAAAAGTCACATGAAAGATTCTATTCAATTGGAACTTGATGTAACCTTCGCAGTTTCCTATTTCATATATACACGTCTTAATAATAGTTATCTCTCAACTGCCCTTCATTTGACTGATCTGATTGTGTAGTGGGTTCGTAGTCTTACTCTGCATTTTCCTTCTTTTAACCTTAGAGCAGATATTGGTTGATGATAATCCTAAACCACTAATTTAGCCATAGTTACTTTGATTTTATGAGTTACATCATCACTTATCTAACCTCTCTATAAATGGTCAGTTATAAATGATCATCAACAACCAGATGCGAAATGAGTGCTTCTTCCTGCACATTATAAGTGCGTAAGTTTACTGCTATACTAACAAAGTTGTAGACTTGGAGCAGTGCCTGATACACTTCAGTGAAACGAAGGATTATCTTCTCAACTTTAGGAACCCATCTGTGTTACTCAAGTGGCTAGAAGATCTTGGCACTTGATGCAACTTGAAAAGATGAATTGGTGAGCAATATTCCTTTAGTAATTTTGGGCCTGTTGCGAAGAGATAGTGTAGCTTGGTTGGAGAGGAAGGTTACTTAAATTTTAAGTTCTCATATTATCCAAAATGGAGAACCAATGCCATATTAAGTTATTAACTACAAATTATCTTTCCCCTTAAGAAACAGGAAATGATTGCATTGTGGATGTACCAAATTCTTACACAGCAAGTGGTTGAAAATTATGCACTTTGTTTCATTTGACAATTTCATTTCTACCAGGAGATCGAATGAGGAGAGTGATGTTGAGTCATCAAGGGAGTCTAGTTGTGGTGGCAGCAGTGATTGTGAAGCAGATAGGCAATCTAAATCTGCTGACTTAAAATGGAACCAGCAAAACCATTTAAATGCTAATGCCCAACAACTAAACAGAATTTCGTTGAGAGACAAATCTGCATTGAACTTGTCTGCTGATGAAGTTGAAATAAATAAATCCCCTGGAGCACTCTTGTTTGAATATTTGGAACAAGAACAACCATATAATCGCAGGCCATTGACTGACAAGGTAAAACAATAGTTAGAGTTTAATTTGATCAAAATGAAACACAGTTTCCACTTCTGCATCCTGAGAAGTTTTCAATCTCCTTCACCTACAGATAATGGACCTAGCATCTCAATATCCAGAATTGAAGAAGTGCAGGAGTTGTGATTTGATGCCCTCGAGTTGGATATCTGTTGCTTGGTATGTTTTAGTTCATGCAAAAGGAGGACACTTGAGATTTTAGAGGAATTTACCTTACAACAAATTTGTTGCAGGTATCCGATATATAGAATACCCATAGGCCACACACTACGGGATCTGGATGCATCTTTTTTAACATTTCATTTCTTGTCCACACAATCTAGAGGTACCTCTCTCCTCTTTATCCCTGTATCTGCATGTATGCTCTTTTCTATGTTTGCCCACATTTCTCTATGTGGTGTTTATGTTTTATAATCATTTTGTCATCTCAGTGTCAGGTTCTGTTCAGCCACAGTTTCATGGTGCAAATGGTAGGAGTGTACATGGTATGATTCATGCTGCCTCAAAGATTTCTTTACCTGTCTTTGGCCTTGCTTCATACAAATTGAAGGGCTCACTTGTGAGTCCATTTGGACCTCGTGAATCCAAGCAAGAAAACTCTCTCTTGCTAGCTGCAGACGATTGGCTTCGGAGTCTAAAAGTTTTCCTCCCTGATTACCAATTTTTTCTCTCTCATTATTCTCAATGGAGATGATGGGGGCTGGATGTTCATCAATGTGCCAAAGTTTTTATTCCTTATGGGAGACATTCAGATGTCGATTCTCCAACAAAGTCCTACCTAATGAGTTGGTTAAAATGCTATTTTCTTTAAGCCTTCTCTGGTTTAAAAATACTCATGGAACTTCAGCAGCTGTTAAGCTATGCCAAGTATATGTGCTGGAGTTGCACTTTATACTGTTTCAAGGTGTGGCAGATCTAAATTTACCAGGATTGTCAAGAAGCCACATAATGTATCAACTATATTCAGTTGGTACATGATCTCTTGACTATGTTGTTGTGAACTCGTCAGTGGAGGGCAATATCTGTATGGTGATAGGATTGCCAACTTAGTGGCAGTAATTCATGGGAATTACCATGACCATGATTAAAATTTTGAACAATCTGTAACTCATATAGCAGCATCACAAACTGATCGAAGTACTTACTAGTTATAGTGTTGTGACAAGTGTTTCTGACCGAAAACCTTGTTAGATAAAAGTCAGGTGGAAATCTTCCGACTCTTTGATGTTTGTATCTTTGTAGCATGAGGTTTACATTGTATCCGGATTCTGATTTCCCCTATTAAGGCTGAGTCAAGCCTACATTGAATGATATGATGCTGAAAACAGACGATTAGCCAATTTTGAGTTGGTAGTTTTATTGTTGTTGTATCCTAATCTGGATTCGGCTAAGAAGTGATCTTCTGACTTATAGTTGTATAAACAGTTTGTTTACTAATTGTTCTAAACTATTAGGGTGTAGTTTTATTTTTTTTTTAAGGTTAGTAATTTGATTTACTAATTTCCTTCTTTCTTGTAAAAATGTTAAATTAGCGGAATATGAGTACTAAATCTTTACTATACCTTCAGGTGGGTTGAATGGAACATTCTTGGTTTGAGTGAGTTAGTTGGTTAGGGATGACTTGTATTGGTATCTCTTTATGACTTGTAATGAATTTTACTTAAAATGTGCTTTTGAGTTGTGATTGATGATTTTCACATAAATAATTTATTTAGAATTGGAGCTCAATCTTCGTGAAAAGGAGCTAATTTTGAAAGTCTTGCTCTAGTAGTAGGGTGATAGTTTGATTCCTATAGAAAATATGGGATCACTCATAAAATTGTTGAAATGGACTGGCGGGATAGGCCCACCAAAGCCTGCCATATGGCAGGGACGGGCTTAAAAGCTCGTCAAAATACGTGCCTAAAATAGGCTAGTTTGTCTCGCCGTGTCTTAAGTTTGCGGGCCTTGGTGGGATTTGCCAAATTTTAAAGGTTTTAAATATAAATAAAAATTAATATGAAAAAGTTAATAAGAGTGTGTTTGGTTGGTGGGTTTTGTCCATAGGAATGTGTATGAAAGTGATTATTGTTGTTTGGTTGATAGGTTTTTAGAACACTACTATGGGTTTCGAATACCCCATCAATTGAAAAATTGATACCCAAATAAAATAAGGGTTTCATTCCCTTATTCATTCTCAAACACTACTATTAGTAACCATTACCATTCCACCCTACTACCAAACATGTTAAATACTTTCACCAAAACCCATTACCATTACCAAGTATTTAATACCCATTCTGATTCCGATTCATATGTGCGAACCAAACACACTCTAAGTGTATACTAAAATAATTTGAATAGTTTAAACATATATTAATGCATTTGTAATTTGTTGAACATAATAATAACTAATAACTAATATAATAATAAGCCCTAATAAATAATCAAATACATAATATGTGAATCTATGAGCCAATAACAAATAATGTATACAATGTACTACTTACTAATACAATTTTTCAATACTAATAAATAAATTAACATATATTTATATATATAGTTTTATATAAAATGATGTATATATATTAATTAATACTAATAATGTATACATATTAGCCGGCTTGGTAGACCCCCTTTGGCCCATCAAGCCTGCCCCGCCATTTTGACAGGGCGGGCTAAAAAGCCAATCGTTATGCCTTGGACCCGTGTCCAGCATGCTTGCTGGACACGGGTAACAGTGCCGTTAGGCACTGTTATCTTTTTTATTTATTTATTTATTTATTTATTTCAGATCACTTTGTTATAGAAGTATATGTTCATAATTTTATTACTATATGTTAATAACTATACATTCATAACTCTATAACTGTACGTTCATAACTCTATAACTGTACATTCATAACTCTATAACTGTACATTCATAACTTCATAACTGTACATTCATAACTCCATAATTGTATATTCATAATTTTCGAAGCTCTATGTTCACAATTTTAGAGCTCTATGTTCATAATTTTATCACTATATGTTCATAATTGTAAGTTCATAATGTTAGAGCTCTTTGTTCATAATTCGATCAATAACTGTACATTCATAATTCCATAACTGTAGATTCATAATCTCATAACTGTAGATTCATAACTCCATAACTGTAGATTCATAACTCTATAACTGTACATTCATAATCTTCGAAGCTCTATATTCACAATTTTAAAGCTCCATGGTCATAATTTTATCACTATATATGTTCATAATTGTAAGTTCATAATGTTAGAGCTCTGTGTTCATAATTTCATAATTGCATAACTGTACATTCATAACGGCATAACTGTACATTCATAACGGCATAACTGTACATTCATAATCAAAAAAAAAAAATAAAAATAACGCCGTTAACGGCAAAACACGCGCGAAATTTTTTTTTTTTAACTAAATGACGCGTTTTTTTTTTAAAAACGACGTCGTTTTGGGCCCGTGTCCACAATTCAATGTGGACACGGGTCCAGAGCATAATTTGCCCTAAAAAGCCGGTCAAAATACTGGCACGAGTTAAAAGTTCGTCAAAATACAGGTCATAAAATTTAAGAACGTGTTAATTCGACGGGCTAAGTCTGTTTTGACAGCTCTAGTCACTGGGTGACTCAAAATCCAAAAAATTATTAAAACAATAATAGAAACTGAACACTGATTGAACAATTCACAATTTACCTCTTAACTTATCATTCTTGATGTTAAACAATTGCTATTTTACCCTTACTTAACAGTGCAATATAATGGCTAACCACAGGTCCGTTAGGGGAGGGGTAATATATGTATCGTTTTGATAATTGAAGGACAACATTTACACCACTAATAATTCAAGGTAACATTGATAATTGATATATTATGAATGACATAAATTATAATTTTCCATTGAATTAATGAAATTTATGCTATTCTTAAAAAAAAAAAAAAAAAAAAAAAAAACCCTAACTCTGGAATACTTTAACTCCAAATCCACGTTTGGTTATTAAAAGAGCGGAACCCAAACGAAATGGGCCACATCGTGGCTCATTCCATTGGGCTACCAAAGGGCGAATAAGGGATGGAGTAGGTACAGCTACAGTGTCCAGGTTATCGTGGAATCCCATTCCCAATGTCGACAAGCTTATCCTGGAAAACCTTATTCCCAAGTTTGAAGTTCCGAATTCTGCCTCAGATTGATAATCTGCTACACCCAGCAGCAAACAGGTGCGTCTTCCAATTCCCGCTTCTTCCATTCTCATATTAAATTGTATCCGCTCTATTCTCAGTGTTTATCTGTGCTTATGCTGATTCCCTCTCCCCACGGTTTCCATGAATTCATACAGGGGGGCAAGGCTAAGTGTTGAATTCGCATATGAAATATGAGCGTATTGATTTGGGAATGGGAATGGGAATTAGAGCTGGCGCTGGGAGTGATCGGTTAAGAACAATTTGGACTCCTGAAATGGATAGATACTTTATTGACCTTATGTTGGAACAAGTTGGAAAATGGAACAACGATGATGATCATATGTTTAGCAAGCAAGCATGGAAGCACATGGCTTGTTTGTTTAATGATAAGTTCAAGTTTCAGCATGACATAGATATTTTTAAGAATCGGCACAAGACGCTTAGAAATCTTTACAGGTCTGTACAGCTTCTTCTTGATCAGGAAGGGTTTAGCTGGGACGAAACACGGAAAATGGTAACGGCTGATAATAAAATCTGGGATGAATACATAAAGGTTAAATTTTTTTAATATTCTATGCTGATATAGCCTGTATGTGCTTGTGTCCATAGTCTTACTAGTTTATATTTGCAGGTTCATCCAAAATCGCGATCCTTCAGAATAAAATCCATCCCATATTTTCGTGATCTGTGTGAGATATATAAACATGCAAGTCCTGAAAAGAAAGTTACTATTGCTTGTCATAGTGCATTCTCTAAAGACAGTGAGCCTCAATCTGACTCTGGTAGTATGTCAGAAGGTGAAAACTCGAAATCCGAGTTAGTGAAAGCAGAAGAACCGATTCTTATTTCACCAATTAATGTTGGTGATAATGCCATGGAAACTCTTCATGACATTGCACTCGTAGAAGATTATGGACTCTCTGTTACAACAGGGCTTGTTGATGATACGTCTTATCCTCTGTCTGATAACAGTTCTGCTGCAGCTACTCGTACAAGGACATGCTGGGAGCCACAGATGGATTTGTACTTTATTCATCTCATGCTAGATCAGGTGAACAAAGGGAATTGGGTTGATGGTCTATTCCGAAGAGAAGCATGGATGGAGATGCTTACTTCTTTTAATGCTAAATTTGGCTTCAACTATGAAATTGATATATTGAAAAATCGATACAAATCTATGAGAAGACAGTATTGTCTTATAAACAATCTTCTGAAAATGGATGGCTTTGTTTGGGATGATGCACGCCAAATGGTGACTGCTGATGATCGTGTCTGGCAAGATTATATCAAGGTGTGCTCTCCATCCCCTTGTAGTTTTTCTTTTTCTTCTTTTTTGACGAGTGTCACTGCCTTTTTTAGTGTTATTACATCAAGCTTTACTTCCTATGTTTCTCTACCTCATTTTATTTATTTATTTTTCCTATGTTTTACATTGCTTTCTGAAGTTCCAATCGTTTGTGAACTCCTCAATGCTTGTAGACTAGAACTCAAACTATTATAATGGATGGTGCTTAGGATGTGATATTGGTGCAGGATTGATGTATTTATTCAGTTACATAATTGGTGTGCATGCTATGAAAATTACCAGCTTACTTATATATGCAGATTAATACCACTGCAAGGCAATACATGACGAGACCTGTACCGTTCTATAAAGATCTGTGCGTCATATGCGGTGAGGTAAGTAGTGATGGAAAAGATGGGTTTTCTGCACATAACACCAACCAGCAAGATGAAGCTTATGAAAATAACTTTGGTGTGTTGCTCAAGAGTTTGGAATCTCCACGTGCTATGGTTTTCAGTGATGACCGAATTAGCAAAGAGGATTCTTTGCATATGGGTTTCAATGCAACTGATAAAAGGGGTAAGCATCAATTAGACAACCCTTCAGGTTCTGAACGCTCCAAGAAAGCTCGTAGTAAAGATGATGGCATTGCATATGCTCTTCGCGAGATGGCAAGCATGGTTTCATCTTTGGTAGGTAAGAGAAAAGAAGATGAAGGCTCAAATAGCGTTTCCATAGAACATGTGATCAAGGCAATCCAGGCCCTACCTGACATGGATGAAGACCTTGTGTTGGATGCATGCGATTTTCTAGAGGATGAGAAGAGAGCAAAGACATTTTTGGCACTAGACATTAAGCTCCGAAAGAAGTGGTTAATAAGGAAGCTTCGTCCACAACAGCAATAAAGATAAATCGACATTGTTAGTTGTACCTCAAACTTTTAGATATTATAGGACATGAAGGTGTTGACATTATTTTAAATGATAGATCATAGTTTCTTCACTCCATTTTTTTAAAAAATTAATTTCTTGAATTTAGTAATTTGTTTAGTTCAAAATGGTAGATTTTATAGATTCTTTCAAGTGTAATACCATGGAAAGAAAAGGTTTTATTTTGGGTTTTTGGCTCCAGATGATGTGACAAGAGCACAGAAAGAAAGGAGTACTATGTGCTAAAATTGCCTGGCTAAAAACAGAGCAGGGCAAGAAAGGAGTTGCAGGACTTTTTTAGCTTAATCTGTGATCTGACTCCACTTACTTGTGACTTTTGTCAGCTTCAATTGGTGTAGGGTGCCCATAAATTGTGGGGCAAAGTTTACCTGGACCATACCATGTTTGCAGGCATCACCACCATGCAGTGGGACAAAATGGTGGGATGGATATACATCAGAGAAGATGCTTAATTTGGGTTGGAGCTGATGCATCAAAATATGATAGGCAACTGCTTCTATAAATGCTAGTTCCTTCTCAAGAAGTGTTCCTCGTTGAGGTAGAGTGCCTCGATTATCCCCCTTTATCTTGCTTGATATTACATCCTGTATTTCAGTTGCGAAAGTAGTTCTTCTAGTCTGTTTTGGTCAATGTTGAAAAAATCGCTAGGCGCCTGGGGACCGCCTAGGAGGCCGACCGCCTAGCGCCTATGCGCGATTTTTGCAACACTGGTTTTGGTATATTATAACCCCTCAGCACCTCCAAGATAAAGTGGGTAAGTGTTGCCTGTTCTGTGATAAACTAGTACAACATACAAGGCGGAGTTTGCATCTCATCTGTTGGCCTGTGCATTGAAGTTTCTTGATTTCAGGTACCATTTATAGTTGTACTTTAAGTTGTGTATTTACTATTTAGCACATCTACAACAAAAAGTGAAGTTTCCTGAACTCTGCTTGCATTAACTGCAGGAAAAGGGAAAAGGTGGAGTTGTATTTGATCAAACTTCATCTTCATTCTCAATTCATCCATCATCAGCAGCTACAAAAACCAGAGCTTTCAAGGTACCCAAAAAAAAAAATTTTGATTGTGTGTAAAGATGATTGATGAATTTTAAATGGCCATGACGTATAACAGTGCAACTTTAATGTTTAAACAAGTAAAAAAGTGGGCAAGTGGGGTGGCGGTAATGTTCACAAGACATCCGCCACTACCACCAAACCACATCCGCCATCCATTTTTTGTTGTCAAAAGAAGCCCGTGGACAACCAAAAATGTGTTTCTTGATTGACGTCATAACCCTGCCCCTTTTCAATACGAAAATACTATGTGTACTGCCACTTTATACTCTCAACTTTTATTTTTGTACACAAAATTTTGATGTAGACACTTGTATTTAGACCCACATGAAAAAAAAAAAATAGTTTATCAGAGTCCGCCACATCATGAAGTAAACTGAGTAAGATTTGGGAGTATAGAACTCCTTTCAATATTCTATACCCATCATTCCTTGGCATTTGCATATGTTTAATAATATTTACATTCGTGGGAACATCAAAATCAGATTCAATATATCCTAAAGTCCTTAACTACAAATATGGCCTACCACTACTCAGTACTGGAGAACAACTACTACCACATTAAACAATGCTGTCGTTTTCCGTGTTGACACCCAAATACACACGACGACAATCTAAGTAGTAGTAATTATTTATATTTTTTTGGGTGAACAACCATAACACAAAATGATGTTTAAACAAAGCAGCTGGATTTCTTGCCATTTATTAGTTAAGGATATATTTAAGAAATGAATAAAATGATTAAGAAAGAAACACGCCGACCAAACACATAGTAGTTAGCTGACAACACAACAATTATTTGAAGTATTATCTCTTTTTCTTTTTATATATTTTTAAATTTATTTGAAGCTGCAGAATAATGGAATAGAGTACAAATAAGATAAGACCATATCATAATTAACCAAAAATTAATATTAGTAATAATTAAGGTAAATAAGACCGGTACGGAGAGATTATACAAAAATACAATACAGATGTCACGGTTACGTAAAATGTCCGTAAAGGTCATAGGGTGCCCATACAGAGTCAAGCGGGCATGGGTTCTCCGAGTCCAGGCGCAGCCATGGCTTCCCGCTGCCGCTCCAGTGGAGGAGGCTCACTGGACCCGGGTGGAGGTCACGGCAGCTTCCTCTGACGTTATCGCCGCCCAAGCCATGCTGGTTCCATCTGTGATCAATGGGGGCCACCACTCCCGCGAATACTAGCAGGAATGGTGGTAGTGACCCCAGCTCGTATATCCGCTTCATCTTCTGGATCTCCATCCACCTCTCGATCCGCTTTGTGTACCCGGACTGCCTCCATTTTCCTAGATCTATCACCATCACTCCGGTGTTGAAGTAGCACGGATTCCGTCCGGCGAACGTGCCGGAAAATCTCTTCTTCGACCAGAAATTTGGAGTGAAGTAGTTGGTGAAGTTGGCGTGGCAGTACTCCGGAGCTCCGATTGTCTTCGTCCCCAGGCTAGAGCTCCATAGCTTCAAAATATCGTCTACCACAATGAGATCGGAATCTAAGTAAATAACTCTGCGAACGCAGGGCTCTAGGATATCTGCCAGGTAGTTCCTGGCGTAGTTGAGCGGCTGCTCCAGCGCTTGTCGAACGGAAGTGGAGATCAAGCTCCGGACCCGTTCCGGATCGAAATAATACAGCTTGAACTTCAAATGCGGGAAAGTAGAACGGACTAGGGTTTGGAGATTGGTGTCGGAAACCAGGAAGTGAAAGAACACAGTCTCCGGACACCTGGAATGCAGCAGAATGGAATGAACGGCGGCGATTGAGCCGCGGAGGTAGTCCGCATCGAGAGTGATCGCAACGTGAACGAGAGAGGGATCAGGGCCGGATTTTAGGCTGTGCAAGCTGGGCTACCGCACAGGGCCCCCAGTTTTAGAGGGGCCCCAAATTTTAGAGGTCCAATATTTAATATTTACTGAGCTAGTTTAGATATAAAAATTAAAAGTTTTCAATTAAACTTAAAAGGTTCTATGAAGAGATGATAGTAATGTGTATTTATTGTATTTTTACTGGGAGGTTAAAGGTTCGAAACTTGCATATTAAAAATTATGATTTTGGAGGGCCTCAGTTATTTACCAGAACAGGGCCCCAAAAACCTAAAATCCGGCCCTGAGAGGGATGACAGACGCCGCTTTCCCCTAATGCGGAACTGCACTCGCCGGCATTGCGAAACAGGGGAGCTTTGCGGAAGGAGAAGCGATTGAGGGAAGCGCCGGAAGGAAATTGAAGGTAGGAATTGACGTTAGAGGATCTTATAGCTTCGGCGGGAGGGAATGATTGCAGCGACGGGGAGAGAACAGTGGTCACAATTGCAGCGGAGACAAACCATGAAAAAAATCTCATAACCCACACCATTATTTTCTTTTCTTTTCTTTTCTTATCACCCAAAACCTTTTTTCCACTTCAATTTCAACTCCAGACGGCCTGAAGAATAAACAACAAAAAAGAGGAACAACGCTCGCTATGGTTCCTTTAAGGTCTGAGCGATACAAAATGGGAAAGCAATAAAACCTGCCAAAAATCAAAACTTAATTTTGGCAGGAAATGAGGACAATAAATGTGTTTTTACTTTTTTTGTGTTTCCTTCAATGAACCAATACCGTGAGCAGAAACGAAGCGAGGAACCGGAAAGCGCAACTGCCGTGTAGTGCGGTCGTCGTCATCATCTTCTTCTTCATTTGTTCTCCCTCCGTCGACTATTTCTGTGTGTTGATAGGGGAAGGAAAAGCAAAGTGACACGAGTATAAGGGAAGAAAGAGCGGAAGAACGGATATATTAGCGGGTGGGGTCCACTTCACCTATGCTTCTGTTTATTTATAGGGAGTATCCAATCTCCAGTAAAATTGGCTATTCCCAGTTTTCCTTTTCCAACCCTACGTACTACGTAGTAAAGCATGTGACTTTTTCTTTCATATTTATATACACAAACAAAATACTCCGTAACATTTTAAAAGTTGTTTAAGAATACATATAATCTCTTTAAATGAATTATTTTGTTCTCAAGAAGTCGAGAGAAATTTAGTGTATGACTTTAAGTCATGTGGTTGACGTCGTTCCGTAAAATACTCAGAAATAAAACGTACTGCTTTAATGTGAAGGTAATAAAAATGGTAATAAGTAGGGTTGACTGTAGGTAGGAAATGCAAATGCAAATGGCAGCTGTTCAGTGTTCACTGCACCTCCTGTCCCCGAGTCCTTGGTTGCAGTACACTTGTCACGTATAACCATTATCCATATCATCATATGCATTATTCCCAATTACGTAATGCTATAAAAGAACCTGTATATATAATTTCAGGATAAATTTTTTTTTTTTTTTTAATAGTTTGAATTACGTACTCCACTTTGCTGACGTTGCCCTGCCCTGCTGATTTGGTGTGCTAATATTGAGACACGTGTTGTTAATGATTAAGCTGATGATCTGCGTTGAAATAATAATAAGGTAACAAGTGTCAACTTTGGGTATTATTGTCTTTGTATAGTTTTATGTGTTGGGCTAAAATTGAATGTGGTGTTGTTTTCAAATTTTAATTACAATACATTTTATAGGGACTATATGATGGTATTTCGGTTACTATTTTAAATAAATGATCATAAATTTGAATTTTGATTATGAGGATTAATTTTTTTTGATTAAAACTATTTTAAAGAATATAGAACAAATATTGTAAGAGTTAATACCCAAAATCGTCCTCGACTATAGTGGTTTTTTTCAATTTCGTCCTAAACGACTTTGGTGACCTAATATTGTCCCAGACTTTTGTGTTTCGCTCAATTTAGTCCTCCATTTGTTATTCCGTCAAATTGGTTAATTAAAGGGACAATTCAGTAACGTCAATATTGATCTCTCTTTACTTTCAACTTGTGAAGTGCGAAATTCCTCTTTGTTGTATGAATTACACCCAGAATTATTCCCGGACCTACAAATCAAATTTTATATTCGCAGTTTTAGGAGTAATTCTGAGAGTAATTCGTACAAAAAAAAAAAGGATTTCGCAGTTCACATGTCTATGAGTAAAGAGATGCCAATATTAAAATTACTGAATTGTCTATTTATTTAACACCTAATGGACAGAATAACAAATGAGGGACTAAATTGAGCAAAAACACAAAAGTCTGGGACTAAATTGAGCGAAACACAAAAGTCTGGGACGATATTAGGTCACCAAAGTCGTTTAGGACGAAATTGAGAAAAACCACTATAGTGGAGGACGATTTTGGGTATTAACTCAATATTGTAAAGAATTATGAGTATTTGAAGAAAAAAATTGAGAAAAATCACTATAGTCAGGACGATTTTGGTATTAACTCAATATTGTAAAGAATTACTAGTATTTGAAAAAAAAAAAAAAAATTAATGCATCTGATATGATCTTCTTCAATGTAATTCGTGAATTATATTCAAGGAGAAGGAACGGAGGAGGTGTAGATGTGGAGGAGCATCCTGTTGTCGTACTCCTTGAGAGGGCGGTTTCCGAAGGAAGTCGCGGCGGCGCCGCCCACCCTGGAGTAATTAGCGATCCGCAGCATCATGTTGACGTAGGCATCTCGTAGGGTTGGGAGCAACTTGTTGGGCGAGATCAACCGGAGCTTCGCCTTCTTGCAGCGTGCAAACTTGAAGAACCGCCGGCGCTGATTCTTCCGGGCGCCGCTTTTGGCTCCAGCTGTATCTATTGCCGCCGCCCCCGCGGCGGCGTTCTTCCTCCTAGTATTTGATGTGTTTATCCTGTCGTAACCTCTTCTCCTCCTCCAGTAATCCATCACAAGCGTACAACGTAACATTCAGCGAGCCTATACTATGACATCTAGCGCTGGGATTATATTAATTAGCTCTTACGTGCTGCCCATTAAAGCGGGCACACAATTCACAAGTAGTGCCATACCATGAACTTTTGAAATACTCTGCGGTAACAATTAAAATACTCCTTCACATTTTTTCATAAGATTCTAAATTCCGAGCTTATATTTTTAGTTTGAATCAATCAACTATAGACAATTAGAAGCTTATCTATAATGGAAGCAATAAGGACAGCATAACTACTCTTCCCCACCCCCTTACACATATGTATAACAATAATTTATATATATAATCTAAATTTGAGCAGCTTAGTTGGTTGAAATTTTAAACTAGCTAGCTTGATATTGAATATACTATATTATCATAAACACTATATGCTAATTTATAATGCATTCAAACTTTATTATGATTTGATATTTTGTCGTTGATATTTCTAAAGTTATTTAAATTTCGTACCACTCAGATAATTTTATAGATCCATTCATATAAACAACCTAGATTTTATTTCCTTATGTCATTTGGGTTGAAAGTTACTCAATACACACCATTAAACAATGACTTATTAAAAAAAAAAAAAAAACATTTCATCTGAAAATTTTAAAAGTAATTGAATTAATTTTTTTTTAAAAAAATAATGAATGAAGTATAACTCTTGTATTATAAGCTCAAAAGTTTAGATTAACCCTTCAAATCTCCCATACGCTGCTTAGGTTCCATATATGCATATCTTATCAGATAATTTGGTCATACGCTGCACGCACACCTAACAACCACACATTTTTATCTTGCTACCTCCTTCGAACTATACCTCGTATCGTATGTATGTATTATGTATTGACAGTAATATTGTGGGTGCTTCTTTTAACATGCATATATAATTTCTGCGCTATTGTTAGCTTCTACTCCGATCCACCGCGGTCCAACCATTGGTCGGGAAAATCATATCCAAAACCAAACACGACAAATGAGCATCGCATATTCTCCCACCAACTCTACCTTATACTCATGCCTGTTCTGTGTATATATACATATATCTTCAATATATAGTTCGAAATGATTCTTATCTTTAATTTCTTGAAAAATAAAAAATTAGGGTTCTCAGCTTCCTCCTAGCTGGTAAGAGAATGGGGGGTGGGTGTAGTGGATTACTACTGCGTCGTCTACTGCTTCTGTATTTGCTGGGTTTTGTGCTCAGCCTCAGCCACGTTTTTTCAGGTGAAGCCGCCGTGGCTAAAGACGACCACCGAATAGCGTGCACAACGTGCTTCCCCTCCCCACCTCCGCCACCGCTGCCGCCGACCGCCCCAGTCTTGCCCAACAGCCCACCGCCGCCCGTTAATCCGTTCGGGCCCCCGCCGCCTCCGCCTGGAGTGATTTATCCACCCCCGTATTACTACATTCCACCGTCAAAGTCCGTTGTGTTGACAGCAAACAACCACTTATTTTTTCTTTCTTCCTCCTTTATGTTTGCCCTTTCTTTCCTCGTTTTTGCATGATTATATTGCAGACGAGAATGGCGTACTAATCGAATAGAAGAAGAAGGGTAATGATGCGTGTATATAAAAGTTTCACTGCAGGGTGAATGCTTCCCTTGCGGTTGTGCGGGTGATTAATGTGTTTGAGTTTTGTACTTAATGTGCGTGAGTCTTGTGCTTAAGGTGCGTGAGGTTTGTGCTTAATGTACGTGAATGTGTAGTGCTTAAAGTGCGTGAGTTTGTATTTTGAATGTATTTTGTTTGTGTGTTTAATGTGCGTTTGTTGTATACTTAAAGTGCATCAATGTAATGCTTAATGTGAGTCCACCCGCACAATTGCATGGGAAGCACCACCCGCACCTGATCCCTTCCATATATATATATATATATATATTGGTGTGTGTGTGTGTGCGGGCGGGGGCAATAACTTATATATATATAATCTAAATTTATGTACAAATTATTAAATGTTTGAGGAGCTTAGTTGGTTGGAACTTTAAACTTGATATTAAATATAGTATGTTATCATAAACATTGTATCGTAATTTATAACGTATTCGAACCTTATTATAATTGTTTGATATTTTTAAAGTTATTTAAATTTCGTTCCCACTTATATTATTTTTTAGATTTGTACATGTGAACAACTTAGGCTTTATCTCCTTGTGTCATTTGCGTTGGAATTTACTCAATATGTACCACTAAACAATGACTTATTTCAAAAAAGTTTAACATTTTAACTAGAAGAAAGTAGTTGAGTTGAAAAAGAAAAAAAAGAAAAAAGTTCTTGAGTGAAGTATAACTCCCATAAGCTCAAAAGTTTGGATTAATAACCCTTCAAATCTCCCATACAATGCTTAATTAGGTTCCATGCATACGTTATCAGATAATTTGGTCATTTTATGCGGCAGGCACCGGACACACACCTAATAACCACACATTTTTTGTCTACCTCCTTCGATTCGTTATTAAACTACTACACCTCGTATTGTAAGTATGTATTATGTATATATTGAGATTAATATTGTCGGTGCTTCTTTTAACATGCATAATTTATGTGCTATTGTTAGCTACCGCCTATTGGCTATTACTCCACCGATTGGTCGGGAAAACCATAATTCCAGAACCTAAGACAAAACTTACTTTGTCGTCCCACGTCACATGCGCATATTCTGCCACTCTATTACCCTACCTTATAAACACTACTCATATATGCATGTGATGTATGTGTATATATTATATATATCTTCAATATATAGTTGGATTCTCATCTTTAATTTCTTGAAATACAAAAATTAGGGTTCTCCGCTAGCTGGTAAGAGAATGGGGAGTGGGTGTGGATTACTACTGCTTCTGTATTTGCTGGGTTTTGTGCTCAGCCTCAGCCGCATTTTTTCAGCTGAAGCCGCCGTATCCTCCATCGCCGCCGTGGCTAAAGACGACCACCGAATAGCGTGCAAAACGTGCATCTTCCCCTCGCCACCTCCGCCTCCACACCCAGCGCAACCGCTGCCGTCCGCCCCAGCCTTGCCCAACAGCCCACCGCTGCCCGTTAATCCGTTCTGGGCCCCGCCGCCCCCGCCAGAAGGAATTTATCCCATAAAACCTCCATATGACTACTACATTCTGCCGTCAAAGTCCGTTGTGTTGACAGCAAACAACCACTTATTGTTTCTTTCTTCCTCCTTTATGTTTGCCCTTTCTTTCCTCGTTTTTGCATGAGTATATTGCAGACCAGAATGGCGTACGGATCGAATAGAAGAATGAAGAAGGTGCCATATCTTCTTCTCTTAGCTAGCTTACAAAGTATAAATAATGTTTTGAATATAATTATTTATCCGCAGCAATTATGCTTATGATAATGTGCACAAGATCAATTCTGTTTCGTTATAAGATAAATTTTTTATCTTTAATAATTAATCTTTTGCAATGCCAAACACCTTGTGCTCAAATGACATATAGTGACGTCTTGCATGTGGGAGGTCATGAGATTGAGCATGAGTGGAGGCGTTGTTGACTATGTGTGTTTCATTAGGTTGAGGACAATGTAATAGAGATAGCATTCAAAAACCTTTTGCAATACTCTGTAAGAGATTGTATGCAAGGAAACTTATAAGTCACAATAATTTTTTTTTTTTTTTATTAATAAAGGAGTTACATAACATCACATTAATTGACCCTACAAGTCATACATTATTGACTAATTTATTGCGTGTTACATGTGCTAAGCTAACTACTAATCAATGACAAATTAAAATCATAGTGAATCAATTAAGCTACGTACTTACATATACCAACTTAATAACAAATTAGGCAAGTGAGATCAGAGTAATCTTTTGGAGGATTTTAATTTATTTTTGGGGATAAAATAATCACAAATGCCGGCTAGAAAGCTAAATATAGCAGCAAAAGTGGACATAAGCCAAACGAATACGAGGTATGCCCAATCCAAGAACCTTGTTTTAGGTTGATGCCCCTTGTCCGAGATGATTAGTCCTCTGTAAACGGCTTCGCTCACAGAATAACTTGAGATTGGATCATATTCATCCGTAAGAGTAAGATATCCGTTCTGTGTCGTCGTCACGCAAACTACATCGTACGCGCCGCTAACTTCTGAAACTCCGAGGAATTCGCATATTTTGAGGCGGGTGTCGATGCGGTCGTCGGTGGATAACTTGTCCCCGTGTGTTAGGATGAGTAGGGGATTCTCGCCGGAGTTTCTGAGCGCCGGTAAGTGGAAGAGTTTCTTCAGCGCCTCCAGTGGGGTTGTGTCGCCGAGGTTCAGAGAGGTGTAGATCTCCCAAGCGTTTGCGACCACCATGGCGTAGTTCACGTCTCTAGTAGCAAATATTGAGCCTGCAGACAATGGCGAATAAGAGTGTTCCGATGAGTCTCCGGGCAACAAGCAGAGCTTGTTGTGGTGAACGCCGTTGGTCATCCAGTCAGTTACCTCTTCCAGAGCTGCTTCCACTTGGTTGTACCGAAAGCCTGGAGTGTCGTACACGCAAAACCCGCTCTGCGATGATCTGAGAACGTTGTGTTCTTCCATGAACAAAGAGGTTTTTGAGGTAGATGAATCGGTTCCGGTGAAATGGAGAATGCCGGAGCGAGCAAAAACACGGTACATGAGATTGACGAGAGAGGTTTTGCCGGCGTTGTGAAATCCGAGCAAGAGAAGGGTGTTGACGGCGGGGATTTCCAGATCTTGTTTGGTGATTCCTCCGGTGGGCACCCAGAAATCGCCGGGACGATAGGAATGAAGCTTGTGGCGGATCTCGTTGAGAGTTTCCGACGAAAGTAGGCCCAACCTCTCCAGCTCCCTAAGGACTCTGATCCTCGGGCTAATCTTCGACTTCGACGACGACGCAGTGCTCATCGTCTCGTACTCCAATTCCAATTCTGCGGCGGATTTCCACCACGAACACACAGATCTACCATCTTCATCGCTGTCCTCGCTGCCGCCGCCGCGTAAATCTGTGTGTGTCATGATCTTATTATCATCAACAAACTTCAAGTTTCCTTCCACGGGCCGGGAAATATCGTTCATTGAACTCTCATCTGCATTCTGCAACTAATTAAACCCTGTAACTTTCGTTTTTGTCGTCCCTTTGCTAGGGATCCGACATTTTCCTTAGTACAGAACATGCACAGAAGATGTGGGCGAGGTAAGCTGAGGACAAAACGAATCATGTCGCAATTATTTTTTACAAATGGGCGTCACGGGTGATCTCCATGCCGGATAAGCCCAATAATATAATCGAAGTAGCGGAGGAAACTTCAGCCTACCTTCCTGTCTTGTCTACATCGTACAACATTTACAACCACAATTTCATTTCTTGTCTACATTTCGAGCTTCTAAGAGTACAGTGACATGTTTATATACATAGCAATAGAGTTGTATTTCCCTTTCAAAGTGCTCAAAACTTGCGGGGGAGATCGAGAGCCAAGTTAGTCGGCTGTTAACGTGGTAACCACAATTTAAGTTTAACTCTTAGTAACAACGATTTATTGGTCAGTTAAGTCAAGAGCTAAGTTGGTCGAATAGTTAGTTTGGTAACCACAAATACATTCTAAATTGAAAAAATACTAATTTTTCTTCTTGCATTATAAAAGTGGCAGTTTTTTTTTTTTTGAAATGTTAAATGGACATATTTACCTTTAAAATAAATTATTTCTCTTCTCCAACAAATTATGATAACTATTTGGTTCAAACCGAACAAACACTATAGCGACCAAACTGAAATATTTCAATTACAATTTAGAATCGAAACCTGATATTTAGAGTTTATTAAAATCATGAACCCGATACATTTATTGTTGAATTTAGACTATTTTAAAATAAAGTTTGAACCAGGAGTTTAAACGGGATCCGGAACCGTGAACCAACGGTTCAAAATCAAAACCAAATTGCGGTCATATATACTTATATGTGAGAATCAGAATAAATGTTAAGAAAAAATACGCTATTTGTAAATATTTTAATTCTAATTTTAAACTAATGCTAGTTGATGGGGTGAGGACCCCGGCCCAAGGTATAGGGGCCCAAAGAAAATAGATAGGAGAAGTGGGCCAGCATCGAGAGGAGCCCGCAGAACAATTGGGCCGAGTCCGGGAGTCGGCCCAGGCCCAAGCATGGGGCCCAGTTCCGAGCTGCCAAGAGGAGTCCAGTAGGAGCTTAGGCCGAGACAAGGAGTCGACCGAGGCACAAGCCCAGGAAAGGACTCGGCTCAAGGAGCCGTTGAGAGCATTGAAGAGGCTCGTTTAAAAAGGGAGCCGTTGAGACATTGAAAGCCGGACACGGTCAGGCCGTTACAAGCCTGGGAGAGCCGTTGGTCGACCGAGTAATAGCATCCAACGGCTCCGTATCTTAATTAGCCATGAAGTCGGCCATCAAAGGCCTTCAAGTCGGTAGAGGGGGAGCCACTATATAAAGGCTCCTCCATTCTTGTAAAAGGAGGACAATTGAACACCCAAAGAGGGGAGAATACCAAAAGAGTTCCGAGTACTAGTATAATCTCCGAAATAGACATACACTTTATCGAAAGGTGCACCCACCAGCCGAAGGTTGTGTTGGACCTCCTTGGGCCCGAAAACCCTAAAACCATCACTAGTAGTTGTTCCAATTTGAACCGCCAGTTCACGGTTCAGGATCTAGGTTTTTTGATTCATGATTTTAATAAACTGAAATTCAAATATTGGGTTCTGGATCTTAATCATAACCGAAACTTTCAATTCGATTGCTATAGTGTTCTGTTCTGTTCGATCCGAACCGTGGTCATCCCTACGTATAAGCAATAATTTATTGGAAAAATAAATAGATAAAATGTTTATTTTAAAGGTAGAAATGTCAATTTAATATATCAAAAGGAAAAATAGCAATTTTGAAAATAATTGAGAGAGCTAATATCTTTACAGGGAAAAAATGTGTTATAAACATAATTCAGAGGAAAATAATGTCATTTTCCCTTGTAAATTTGACATTCGGTCTATTTGACTGAACAAAACACTACCTGAGGCTTACATTACATGAGTCCTATGTATGTTGGCAGGAATACATAACCCTTTGCAGTATCTATCAGCGTATTGCTAAATTAAACAACAAAGCAAGAGAAGGAACGACATTTAAAAACCTCCCATCCATTTCCACAACAGATAGCTTGCAAAAATCAACTAAAAGGGGAAGCATAGAAGGTTTGTTATAAACGTAAGAGGAACATAACATGAGAAGATAAACGAACCTTAACTGAACTTGAACCCCCCCGATGGAACAGGAAGATCACCACCTCCAAAGTTGAATCCAGATTGTGGAGCATCACCCGAAGGTAGCTGCTCTTCAACCTCGTCCAACCAATAAGCTCCAAGGATCTTAACTGCCATATCGTATATATCATGGTTATCATGGCTCTGAAGCTTTTCAATCTTCTCCAAACCACCGGCTTCTTCAATCAATTCTCCAAATTTATTAACACCATCCGCATCCTTCTCTGCTTCACCAATCTTCAGAATGTCCTCAAGTCCTTCCAAGCAGACTGTCACGATTATTGGGTCAGGACAAGCTAGAAGATCACATAGCGGCTTTATACAACCCTCAGAAACCAAGAACCTTCCAACCAATCCAAAAAATTAATTAGCTTACACTAAAACACAGTTTAGCAATCAACAAGAATATAAAATCGACATACTTGATTTGTGCGGGAGATCCACCAGAAGTAGCATTTCAAATTGCCCAAGCAGCCTCTTTCTTTACTTCGAACACAGTCTGACACTAACTACTAAACACTTGCAAGAAAGTACGGTTCCTATGCCGACCGACAAAATGAACAGTATGTTAGTACTCATCACACTTGGATGAAATCTACGCTTAACTACAAAGATCCAAACAGGGATGCTGGAAATTAATTAGATGCCCTCCCAGTCCCAGATAAAGGGAGTAAAAATTGTACCTTTTTGGCGATATGAGGAGCGGCAGTGGAGGAGTTATGTAATTGTTGAGGCTGAAGGCCTTGGCGCTGCTTCTTCAACAAGCTCTCCTCTCTTTTGATCTTGCGGATCACCACCGTGTTTTCTTCTCTTCTTCTGCGGCCATCGTCGGAATCAACGGCGACCTTGTACCGGCTCCGGCGAGCCTCAGCGACATGGAAGCTCGCTCCGGCTCGCTCGCTAGTTCTTCAATTGGATGAGAACTTCAATAGTACAGTAGATGTACGGACAGACAGTCTATATCGGCTTGGTGAGTGAACAGAGAAGCAATTACTGTTTGGACTTTTCACTTCCAATTTTTACTCCATAGTCCACACTCCAACAAGCTAAGGCATCTGTGGTGAGCTACCGGGAGAAAAGATTGCAAATTTTCATCTTGCAGAAGCACCCAAAAAAAAAAAAAAAAGGTGCTTTCCATGATTGTCCACTTCATATCGTAGGCATCCATCCAAGCATATCTCCAAAACCCCTCGTACAATCTCACTGATATATCAGTATATGACCATGCAATATACTGTAACTGGTTGGTTGTTGGCATGTTGTTTCTCAAGTCAGAATCTTTGTCGTTAGTATCCTGATTGATTTTAAGAATATTAGAGTGCTTATATTATAGACCACGGTGCATGCGGTCAAAAACGGCGTCGTTTCTTTAAGTAAAGAAACGGTCCGCCGTTAGAGTTAACGGAGTCCGTTTGTTTGGTGTATTAAACACCAACTGACACTATAGTATATCTAAATCGACACTGCAGTTATATCAAAATGATACTGTAGTTATAGTGAAATGAAACTGCAGTGTATATAAAATGAAACTGGATATTGTACAATGAAGCTGTAATTATATCAAAATGATCATGTAGTTGTGTTTTAATGAAACTATAGTGTATATAAAATAAAATTAAATAACATTTTCACATATTTGACTCTATAAATATCGAATGAAACTATAGTTATATCGAAATGAAATTGTAGTCATATTGAACTGAAACTGCAGTGTATACAAAATGACACTGAATAATAGAGTTACTTTTTGCAAAAGGGTGCGAAACGGCGGAAACAAACACTGTTTATTTTTATTTAAAAAAAAAAGATGCGCGGTGCATAATATAATTTGCCAGAATATTACCATTGGGCCAAAAAAATTGTCCATGCTTAAATGGCCAATTGGCCCACAATAAAGCCCACAAATATATTTGGATTTTGTTAATTAGGATATTTTGTTTTGGACTTTAAAACTATAACAATTGATACATTAGGATGGGTTAAATTTTAATTTTAAGTCATAGGAGATAAATAAACACCTTCATAAAAGCAAGGACTATTATCTAAATTATTATTGTTATTATTATAAAATAAAATTGAAAGGAGCAAGCTGGCGGTGAATAATAATAAAATTCAAAATATTAGTCGAGAACGGGGTTTGTATTTTCTTTCACATTTAGGAAGCCTTGACAGCAACCTTAACACAAAACCTAACCAGAGAAGAAAACACAAATATCCCTCCTAGTCCACAGTCCCCACAAAGCTGGCATCACATCTGGCCCGCCCTTAATCATTGTTCCTTCACATTTTCTATTGCCAAAATGCGCTGTCTACAACAAATTAACGACTACATTTTATTTTTACTCCTACGTTCGAATTCATTCTTAATCATTTATCATTAAAAACGATACATTTTTTTTTTTTTTTTTGGTGTGTACAATGTATCTCCCAAACTATAAAACTAATTCATATATAATAATAATAATAATAAAGAGAACTTTCCTCTTGAGTGGCGAGAGAAACCACATTCACTACTCGAGAGTGTGTGCACCTAAATTGTTGTTACAAGTTTGTATCTTTAATCATCTTAGACTGGGGTTACTCATAAATCTACGGATTTACATTCTTGTGATTATTTACATATAACAATGCGAGATTTACTCAATACACATCTCAAGCTGCAAGTTTTCCTCGTCATTTAAAAAAGAAATAAATAAATAAAAGGGGGAGACGAAGACTTACAAGGGGCGCAGTTGCTTCCTCCGCGTGGAAGCGTGTGAGACACGAGTTTCCTCAAGTGTTTCAAGCACTCTACTTCCTCTTAACAACCTGTTTTTATTTGTTTGGACTTTGCTGCGCTGCCTGTTATGTTTCAATTTTCATACATTCCGCGTTACTTGTATTTTTTATTCATATAACTTTATTTATAAGATGTTAGGTGTACATATATATATGGCTTGATAGCCTCTCCTCCTTCGCCAAGTATATCACCATCTTCTACAGCTCTTCAATTGTCTACAAAAAGGGAAATAACTGAAAAGCAATCTACCAAAAGCCTGATAACTTTTAGTGTATATTAGGTATTGAGCAAACAAACAAAAAGATCAGAGAATGGGGAGAGCGCAGATGAAGATGATGAAAGCATGGAACCTGGTTCGTGTAGCATTGCTATGGGCGAGAAAGGGGGGAGTGTTTAAGAACAGGCTGTTGATGTTCAAGGATCTTCCCAAGTGCGTTAAGAGCCTCCACGATCATCGTCACTCCGGCGCCGCCTACGTGCACCGCCGCCGTGATCCCTGCGCCCTACATTACGGCGAGCGCCAGTTCTCGTTTGACGACACCCCTATCATCCACGTCAAGATGCACCGCCCTGCTTCCTTGCGATTCAGGATGCCTCACATCCCCTGCATAAACCCTCCTGTCGATTTCGATTTCGATTTCGATTTTGACGGCCGTAGCAACGCTGATGCCGATGATCAAATCGCGTTCTCTGATGAATACGATAATAATGCGGATGATGATCATCAGTGCTGCGACGATGACGACGGCGGCGAAGAAATTGATACCAAGGCGGAGCAGTTCATAGCTAAGTTCTACGAGCAAATTAAGCTGCAAAGACAGATATCATATCTACGCTATAATGAAATGCTTGCCGGAGGAGCCAATTGATCCCATCCCATTTATCGTCACTACAATACAACATTCATTCTTTTATTGTACAAGAGGCATTATATTGCGGCACTGTTTGTAGATACAACTGAGATTCCGATTCCTATTTCTGTATTACATACATACTCATAATAAAAGTATTTTCATCTACTCTATGAGAGTGTTCAATTCTACAAAATTAGATCATTACGGGAATGATCCATTTATTCTTGACTTTTAATTTGTCCATAAATAATTTCTTAATTTTTTAACATTTATCAATTTTCGTTTTTAATTTTTAATTTTCAAATTTAATCTTTTAATTAAACATAATCATTTAGTAAACATTTGAAGAAAAACATGGAAAAGTGACCAAAAGGTCACATGCTGGAGAAGGTGACCACTGGGTTGCCTTCTCCGGTGTGAGAAGGTGACCACAAATTACTAAAATTCCAACAACATTCTAACCCACTCTGACGACATTCCAATTAACTCTGATGAATTTCTTATTAACTTCGTCAAAATTTGAAGAAAAACATGGAGAAGTAACCAAAAGGTCACATGTTGGAGAAGGCAACTATTTTGGTCGCCTTCTCAATTCTCACCTTTTTCGGTGTGAGAAGGCGACCACGGGTCACTTTCTTGCACTAGAGAAGGCGGCCAATGAGAATTGTCAGTGCCGGAGTTAATTGAAATGTGGTCGAAGTATGTTAGGTCAACAGAATTTTAGTGACCTCAATAGCAAGTTATTAACTATGGGTCTAATTATAATTTTGTAATATTTAAAAATTTAATTAACTTCAAGAGCTTATTTGACATTTTTTTCCTAAAAATTAATAGATGTGTCAATCAACCCTGCAATTAACTCTACAGAATTATAACGAAAAGCAAATAAGCATGCGACTGAAACAAAAACATGGGACACTTGACAATTCGTCATTTCTTTTTTGAAAAAGGGAAAAAAATGTTGACCATTCGACATTTAAAGCCATGTCTTCCATATATTATAGAGCAACTCAAAATTGCATATCATGAAAATTTTCTATCTAACTTTGCCATCTCTAATATCAGCCAAACAATCCTACATATCACTCGCTTGAAACACAGACGAATTTGAATTTTGAAGGAAACCAAATGGGCAACGTACACTCTAAATCTGTAATACAAAACATATATAATTATATATAATGTTTTCTGCTTTCGCCAGAAACAACCATCAGAAGCAGCACCCTGAAAGCCCAACCAACATGAAGCAGCTTGTATCGGTATGCATCTTTGTTAACAGCAGCGAGCCAAAATTTCCACGTTTTCCCTTTCTTCAACAAGCCTCCTAAAAGAAAATTTACATTTGTCTTGAGTGTATCAAACCGCACATAACAGGATTTCCCTGCACGATCAAATGAAATCAATTTCAATTAAGGCAGGCCTATAAAGAATGGACGGACTTCCATCACATTCTTTTTTATGCCAGTCTCGAACAATAAATGCACCTAGTACTGAATAATGACGTTGCTATAGCGTTCCATTCTGAAGACCCTTCTTGAAGTGTGCATCTAATTTCCCTATCGCAGCCAAGATAAAACCTATAAGGCAATCCACAAAGTGTTAACAAAAATGTATTCGTGCAAAACCTGAATGAATATTCTAGTTATAGATAAGAAGAAATTAATTATATTATTATACCCAAAAATGGAGCTGAGGGCCTCCCAGGCCGTGACTTGAATTCTGGATGAAACTGGACACATACATAAAATGGGTGATTTGGAAGTTCCAAAATCTGCAAGACAAATAGGAGATACGAAAAGAAGTCAAGGATAGCTGATACTAGTAAGTAAATCCAAACCAAAGTCTAGATAACTAACCTCCATTCGCTTTCCACTTTCATCCGTTCCAACAAATTTCAAGCCAGCTTGTTCTAAAGCACCAACCATCTCAGGATTAACCTGAACCATTAAATCAAAATAGGCGCAATAACCTGGTAAGAGTCACAAAACGAATTTCACTCCATTAACTCAATTTCTATACTTTACCTCATATCTATGCCGATGCCTCTCATCCACATACTGTGAATTCTTGTACCTTAAGAAAGATGAGAGTATTATTTGGAGGATAACAATACTAGAATGCAAACATCAAGCTCTACTTTGTGCGTAAATCAAGACATTTCATGTCTACGTGTCAATGTGCCAATGTGTCTTTGTTGTTCATGAATTTCAAGACTAGAAGGAAATAATGCATCTAATGTCATACAGCTTTGCAGTGATGCAATCAGGAGACCGGAACAATGTCTTCCGAGAACCCAGCCTCATTGTGCTGCCCATATGTGTCTTTGATCCCTGCGAATGCATATGAAAGATGCATCACAAAAAATATGGCAAACCATAAAGCACTACAATGAAATATTACCTCTGGCATAAAAATTACAACAGGGTCGGGCGTGTCTTCATCAAATTCTGTACTATTTGCCTTTTCCAAATCCAAAACCTGAAACACTCAATTGACACAAGCCATATAAGATAAAAGAAAATAAATGCTGCACACATCCTATTTTACATGACAAAGTTTAGTAAAGTTCATTAACCATGTTAGCATGAAAACTATGTTCTTAAATGACGAAAGGGAAATGTGTGCACAAAAAAGAGGACAAAGGCATAGCATGAATGATCAGCAAGCATTCAAAAGAATTAACTTACAGATCTAGCAAATTCAATTACAGAAATCTGCATTCCTAAACATATCCCAAGATATGGAACACTATTCTCTCTTGCATATTTTGCAGCCAATATCATCCCACTGACGCCACGATCACCAAATCCACCTGGAACCAAGATGCATGATGCCTCCTGAAAGTATAGGTTTCATTTTCAATAAAAAATTTGGATCATAGAATTATTTTTATTTGCATGTTTTTCAAGATAATTTCTATCAAGAGAGCATTTGGGAATTTTTAAATAATTTAAATTCTATTCTGGAGTTTCATCCCAACATATACCAAGACCAAGAATAATAGTAAAAAATCCATTCCACTTTTAAGTATCTCATTTCCTCATCTCATCCCATTCCTCATGCTCACCTCAAGTGAAGTTTCTTCCTTAGAAATTAGCATATTGATATTAACCAAAGAAACTTGTTTCATAGCACTAGACAAGAATAAAACTTTACCCTCAAAGTCTTCCAAGCAGCTGCATGAGCTTCTGGGGTCTGGAAATATTTAAAAGAATAAATAATTAAATACTTCATGTCAAAGCACACAGACACTAAAAAAATAAAATAAAATCAAATAAAATAAAAGCTGTGTACCAATCTGGCACTTTCATCCTCAAGATCTGAAGCTGCAATCCAATCAATTGATGGTTTCATTGAACATGAAATGCAGGCATGAAGGAGAGCCTAAAGAGTTGCAATTAGGAATTGAAGAAAATAAAAATAACATAAGCAACAATTTAGAATCACAGCTCAAATCACTTGAACGAAAAATCCTTTTGGCCTGAATTTGATAGTACAGGCATTGATAGTGTCAGTCAACTCAACTAAGCCTTAAAGTCAAGAGTTATTATAGCTACAAACCAACGAATGTAAAAGTCATGCAACTTCACCTACCTGTATTTCATAGCCATTTCTGTGAGGCTAAATATGTTATGTTTTATTGGCATCTATAAGTAGTAATTATTTAGATTTATATGTTGGAAAAAAAGAGGGGAAGTAAGGAGTTAAAAATACACATCATGGTTTTCCTATTAAATTTAGAGTAGCCTTAACTTGGAAAACCACATGCCTATTAAACTATGGAAGGTAACATGCATTCCAGCACAAGCTATCTGTATTTGAAAAGTCATTTTTTCCAGGTTATATGCATTGTGTTTATATTGGCTAAGCTAAGCAAGCTGCATGGTCATTGTAGTCTCAAATAAACCCAAATACACTGTAGCTAACAGAATGTGTTCACTAGTTCATCACAGCTTGAACAATCTTACCTTCACTACAGATAAGTAGGAATCTGTCAGTCCAACATACTTCCCAACCATTGCAATTCTTACCTGCAAAAAGCATAAACCCTTCACTCAAATGCAATGAACAGATATATTTTAGAAGTATATACATATTGGCCATATCCACTGACAGAATTAGTGAGATTATCAAAAGTCTCAGCCCTCCTGGTCCACTCCTGTAAGTCAGGTTGTGTAGCATCACTGAAACATAACCCACACAGTAACAATGACATATTTGATATTTACCTACTTAAAAACATTGAAATAGGTTTAACATATATATTTAATTTTATAATCATGCAGTGAAACATTGAGAGAGGGGGTGGGGAGCCCTGGCATTCAGGAAATTGTCATATGTAAGCTTACTTCACTAAGTCCAGTTGCTTCAGAATGGCATTATGAGCATTTTGGTTCTGCAACAAAATTTTGATGGTCATAAGCAATGGTAATTTTAGTGAAAAAGGAAACAGTGTGATTTAGAAAACTCACCCGAAGCAAAAGAGGAATATGCCAAATATTTGGAACATCATGGATATTGAGAATGTTGCTAACCTAGGAAAATGTAAGTGATCACATAGAAGTAAATTGAGATCTTATACACAAGGTTGAAAAGTCAAGCCTATTAATTTGAAACTTACTGGGACATGGCAAAACTGTGAAAGTTTTTGCTTTGTATTTTCCAGCAAAGGCTGCAACACATCATAGAACAATAATATCAGCAGAATGCTGAGATGCATAGAGGCAGTGGATATAAGAAGTGCATACCTGTGCTGAGCGACATGCTAAGAAGTGGGGAGTCAAGCCTAATGCTCTCAGTTCCCGCACACTATGTTGTGTAGGCTTTGTTTTCTGCAGATGTGCACAGAAATACATATTAAGGGTGAAAAAAGAGAATCCTAAAAGCAAATTACATTGAACTGACTAGGCACCATAATCTCATAAATGAGCACTGGGTAGAAAATTCATGTGTACCCGGTAAAGCTTTCAGAATGTAAACATAAACTCACTTTAGGTATAGCAAGCATAATGAAT